TCCTTTAGGATGGACTGGTTGGATCTCCTTGCAGTCCAAGGGACTCTCAAGAGTCTTCTCCAACACCACAGTTCAAAAGCATCAATTCTTCAGCGCTCAGCTTTCTTTATAGTCCAACTCTCACATCCATTCATGACCACTGGAAAAACCACAGCCTTGACTAGATGGACCTTTTCAATATGCTGTCTAGGTTGGTAGTAACTTTCCTTGCAAGGAGTAAGCGTCTTTTAATTTCATGGCTGTGATCACCATCTGCAGTGATTTTGGAGCCCAGAAAAATAAAGTCAGCCACCGTTTTCACTGTTTTCCCTTTTATTTGCCATGAAGTGATGGGACCAGATGCCATGATCTTAGTTTTCTGAATGGTAAGCTTTAAGCCAACTTTTTTGTTCTCCTCTTGAACTTTCATCAAGAGGCTCTTTAGTTCTTTTTCACTTTCTGCCATAAGGGTGGAGTTATCTGCATATCTGAGGTTATTGATATTTCTCCTGGCAGTCTAGATTCCAGCTTGTGCTTCCTCCAGCCCAGCGTTTCTCACTAAACTTTTGAGGAAAGTGATAGAAAAGACTAAGCTGGAAGAGGGTAGGTGGTGGCCAAATTCTGAAAAATATCACAAGTTCTCTTTCATTAAAGGTACCCCTCAAAGGGAGCCTGTAAGGGACAGAGGTGAAACTGAGCAGGAAGTGTAATTTCCTAGCTGCATGATCTTGGACAAGTGACTTGCTCAGTCTGAGCCTCCGTTTGACCATCAGTAAAAATGGGGATATGCCCCTCCTGGGGCAGTTGGACAGGGACCTAGCGTGTTCACCGTTAGTTACGAAACGCTCAATACATACATGTTGAATGAGTGCAGTAAATGTGTGCTTAGCATAGTGGCCGGTGTACGGCACGCGTGCATTAAGTGACAGTTGCTGACAGTAAAAATGGTAAAAAGTAAAAAGTCCCCAGCTCAACAGTCCAAGACCTGCACGCCCCAGATGTACTTCAGCAGGTCCTACGCGAACCCGCGCAGTAGCGTCCCCGGAGGGGGAGAGCAAGAGACTGCGCTTGCGCGTGAGTGCCTGCCCCCTCCCGCTCTGGCGCGAGGACCAGTGGGGCGGGCTCGGCGGCGTCGCGACGAGTCCAGAGGGGAGGACCAGGGAAGGGGCGTGGCCAACAGGCCGGGCGCCGGCCACCCTCTTCCGGGCTCCTCCGGCTGCGCGCGCATCCTCCTCCCCCCTTCTTTTGTGGTCCGACCCATTGCGAGGGTGACAGGAAACCCTGTGCAGGGAGCGCCGCCATCTTGGACCAGCCCGAGGAAGATCCTGAGGGAGCCGCGGGAGCAGTCGCCGCTGCCACCGCCACTGCCGCCGGCGCGTCTGCAGCTCCTCGGCCTGCCCGCTGCCTGCCCGGGCCTCGACCGGCCGCCCCCACGGCCGCCCCCGCCCCTCTCCCGCTGCGCCCGCCCTCCTCTTCCTCGTCCTGACGCCCCCCTCCCGCCCGGAAAGCTGCCCAGCCACCAGCAACCCCCCAGGTAACCCAGGCCTTCCGCAGCGTCCGGCCGGCCGGGGTCTCCTCGCTGGGCTCTCCCGGGGCCAGCGGTGGGGGCGACGGCGGGGTGGGAGCGCGGGCGCGAGGCGTCGCGGGGCGGGCGGTGTCAGGCCGCAGCGAGCCCGGGGTCGGCTGTGGGTTCCGCAGCGCAGGGCCTGACAGGAGTCCGTGCGGGGGCGAGGGTGTCCCCGCGAGGCGCCCGCGGGAGCCCCTGTCCTCCCCGCCCAGCGGCGGGCCCCGGGCGCGGCGTGTGGAAGGGTGTGTGCGGCGTCGCCTTCCCCGCCTCTCCGGCCGGCCTGGGCCGACTCGCACCTCCCGCGGGCCCCCGTCTCCTTGCCGCCGCCGACCTCCCCCCGCCGGGTCTGTCCGCTCGAGCCGCGCCGCCCTGCAGCCCGCGAGCCCCGGACGTGGCGTCTCCTGGCCCATCGGCCACGTCGGGCCCCGAGCACAAAAGGCGGCCGCCCGGAGCCCCGCCGGCGTCTTGGACCGACTCCGGCGTCCTTGCCGGTGGGGGTAGACTGTCATGGACTCGGGCTGGGCGGGGGTCTGGGGGTCCGTGCGGCGAGGTTCTGGTTTGGGGGAAGCTCTGTAACGTCTGTGGCATCCTGTAAGGTCTCGATCGTGGGTAGCGTGTGGAAATAACGAGGACAAAAAGTTTTTGGCCTTTCTAGAATTTAAGCAAAGAAGGCGGAGCCAGTGTGTTTCGGTGGTTTGCTCTTTACTGTGTGCTAGACGCGGATTTTAGGTATCGAGACCCGCAGGTTTAGCTTGCTTTACATTGCTCTGGGTGGTGAGTAGAGTATCTTCATCCCCCAGGTGAGGAAACTGAGGTGTGGAAGTGCGATGTGGCTGCTTAACGATGGTACATGCAAACTCAGGTTAGGCCAGGGCTACAGACATGACCACTGAAAATGTAGCTAGTCTCATTCCCTTTTTCCTACGTTTGCGTTTGGATCACAGCTGATTTCTCCTTTGTAACCCAAAGTCTGTTGGCCACTACTACACTGCTAGTTCTCTTTCTCACAACCCCAGAGGAAAGATGACAAGATTTCCGTTTTATGTTTGAAGAAGAAACTGGAGTTCCCAGAGGGCAAATGCTTTTCTGGCGATCCCACAGCGAGTGTCGAGAGTCCAGATTTGAAGTCCTGCAAAGTTTACTGCTCGCTTCATTACTGTCAGAACTACCTAGTATTTCGGTGTGGTTGTCGAGGACAAATTTGACCTTGCAGTAACCCAGCTCCCACTCCCCCATTCTTCAAGACTTTGCAGAATTTTTCTGCAGTTTTCTGCTTACACCCGTTTACTTGGTCATGCCTTTGAGACTTTTAGTGGTCAGGAGTTTTGGAAGGTTCCTGCTCCAATACTGCCACTTCCTAGTGACCTCAAGCAAGTTAACTTCACCTTTTCAGACTAAGCGTCCTTATCCATACAAGGGATAACTGTACCTACGTTTTAAAGTTGTTGTGAAGATTTAAGTGGGGTTTAAGACCCTTAGCACATTGCTTGAAGTTTGGTCAGCTCCCATTGTCTGTGACAGCGCCAGGCTGATATTTGTTGAGTGAGGGAGAGGAACATGGAGAGCTGTAGGGTTAGATCGAGCCTTAACCTTAGCTTTCCCTTTAGTAGTGTGTGGCCATGGATGTATCTCCTCTCTGAGCTGGTTTCCTTATTTGTACAGTGAGTTTTTAGAATTAGAGATTGCTTATAAAGTAGCTGACATATAGTAGGCACTCAGTAAATGGCAGTTACTGTAAAGATGTAAAACACTTAGAAATTTAATAACCTAAAAAATTCCCTTGGAATTAAAGCTACACTCAAAAACTTTTTTTTTTTACATTTCATGTTAAACTTCATTGTTGTGCATACTGCAGCCTTGCAACAGAATATGGAGTGTTTTTACAACTGATTTTTATTAGTACTAAGTATCTTTGCATAATTTTAGTAAGATATTATACAGTTGGAGGAAACTTTGTGTAAGGCAAATAAGTTACTTCAAAACTAGGGCTACTGAGATAGGTTTCATTTTTTTAAACTTGAGACATTTTTTTATGATTAAGAATGCTGTGCATTGCTGGAGACAGCAGTGTACCAGTAGAGGTATCAAAGGTACTATACTTTTAAGAAACTTTTTATTCTCAATAGTTTTTAAGGTATGCAGAATAGAGTAGTATATTGAGCTTTCACATGTCCATTATCCAGTGTCAACAGTGCTCAGTCTTATTTCATCTGTATATACTTGTATCCTCTCCACCAAATTATTATTTTTGAAAAACTTTTTATTGGACTATAGTTGATTTACAATGTTGTATTTACAATGTTTCTGCTGTACAGAAAAGTGAATCTGTTTTACATACACATATATCCACTCTCTGTTATAATTATTTTTATTTTTTATTTACTTTTTAAAATTCTGTTGATCTTTATTTTTGACTGAGGTGGGTGTTCATTGCAGTGCAGACTTCTTGGTGCAGTGGCTCCTCTTGTTGAGGAGCACAGGCTCCAGGGCGCTCGGGCTTCGGTACTGTGGTGTATGGGCTTAGTTGCTCCCGGGTAAGTGGGATCATCCTGGACCAGGGATCGAACCAGTGTCCCCTGAATTGGCAGGTGGATTCTTATCCACTGCGCCACCAGGAAAGTCCTTCCCACTCTACTTTAGATTCTTTTCCGTCTACCAAATTATTTTGAAGCAAATCTCAGATATCCTTTCCTCAGTAAATTTTTCACTATTTCTCATCCTTTTAATTCTAAGTGCAGTGTTTTAGTTTTGTTTTTTCTCATGAATACTTTCCTTCTGTGGACAGAGGTACAGTATTTATTTCCTATTCACAGCGTGCCATCATAATTAGCTGAAAAATTTTGTCTTTCTCTTGACACATGGAGACAAACTTTTTTCTTACCACATTAAGTTATAAAAAAGTGTGACATTAAATATCTTGTCAAAACTGAGGTGATTTTTAGGTGAGTGTCGGAAATGAGTGGGTTATTTTCAGAGGTTGCTTTAAGGTTGAGGACAGGAGATTGACCGAATATTTTGATTAGTTCCAAAGTTTTGTGTCCACTTGACTGACAAATCAAGTAGCAGTCCACTTTAGTGGTCTTGTAAACACACCAAAGTGCTTCTCTTCTTGAGTTCCATGAAGGGAGGGCCCATATATAAATATAAATATATATATACATGTATTTTTTTAATCATTACTGTATTGTCAAAACCTAACATAATTTAAAAAATATTTTTATGTTGGAATCACAAAAGCAGCTTATCTTGGTTCAGGTGTTTTTAACAGCATTTTTCATGTATAAAAAAGCCTCATTTAAACAATAAGGGTCAGAATTTAAGTCATCCAGAATATTTTTATTTAGGGGTTGCTTTTTTCCTTTGTTGTCTTGAATTGGTTACATAGAAATTACACAGTAACACCTTATGTCCTAAGAGTGGAATAAAATAGCTGTGTAACAGCTGTGAAAGGATTAGACAAGTGTGTAAGTTAATACAGCAAGGAGTCAAACCATAAGAAAATGAAAAAATACACTCCATTATTGGGAGTTAGAGCTGTTTCTAGTTTTTTTGTTTTTATTTTTGGCAGCACCAGCGGCCTTCTAGGATCTTAGTTCCCCCGACCAGGGATTGAACCTGGGCCCTCAGCAGTGAAAGCAGAGTCATAGCCCCTGGATGGGCAGGGAATTCCCCTTTTGTTTGTTTTTTGAATCTGATCACGAGTCACTTCATATGATGTTCCCCATGTTATTGGTAAATGTGGAAGTAATGTTGGAAATATTGTGACTGGAGTTTTTTGTTTGTTCTTGTTTTGCATTAGAATTGTATGTAAAGATGCTTAAAATATTTTAACAGTCTTTTTTTTTTTTTTTTTTTTACTTTTAATATTTTAGAGTATTACTAATGAATACAGCAGATGCTTATAGTGTCCTCTCAGTGATAGATAAGGGCTTCCCTGCTGGCTCAGAGGGTCTGCCTGCAATGTGGGGGACCCGGGTTCGATCCCTGGGTTGGGAAGATCCTCTGGAGAAGAAAATGGCAACCCACTCCGGTATTGTTGCCTGGGAGAGTCCCATGGACAGAGGAGCCTGGAAGGCTACAGTCCATGGGGTTGCAAAGAGTTGGACACGACTGAGCGACTTCACTTTCTTTCTTAATGATATGTAAAAAAAGTTAATAGTTTTCCCCTTCCTTTTTTCTCTTTCATTCCATGTGTTAATTTTTTACAGTTTGGTGTGTATCCTGTATTGTATGCATATAGGATTGAGTGTGTGTATGTCTTTAAAAATGGGTATATGTTATCTCATGGAACTCTGCAGCATGCTTTTTTTTTTTTTTCCAGTTAAAATTGTGAATATGCTTCCAGGTTAATGCGTATATCTAAATGGTTTTTCAATTAGATGTGTATCATTTCATAGTACCGATGTACTTTATTTAGTCAAAATATTTTGGCACTTCAGATTCCCACAAGAACAGTATTTGAAAGTGCTTACCTTCCTCTGTATTTGTACATTTCAAAACTAGTCATTTATATGTATAGTTCTATTTGGAACACTATCTGATTCAGTAGATGGAGACAATGTGATTCTGTTTTGGCACAACAGTGATTAGTGTTTAACATGCATTTAGTAACCATTAGGTCTATATATATTGACCTGGAAATAGATCCATGCTGTTGTGAAGTGAAAAAAAAAAAAAGCACCCGTTGTAGAGTTTCATTCAGTAGCATACTCCATTTAAATATACTTCTTACCTTCATAGTGGTATATGTTTTATGTACACAAGATAAGGTTGAGAAATCCTTTGCTAAAACAGTATTAATAAGGGAAAGTGTTCAGTCCTCTCCAACTCTTTGCGACCCCATGGACTGTAGCTTACCAGGCTCCTCTCTCCAAGGAATTCTCCAGGCAAAAATACTAGAGTGGGTAGCCATGCCTTTCTCCAGGGGATCTTCCCAACCCAGGAATGGAACCCAGGTGTCCTGCATTGCAGGCAGATTGTTCACCACCTTAGCCACCAGGGAAGCCCCAAGCATAGTTAAAAGGGGCCACTTGAGCATGGTTCTGTTGCAAATACATAGTTTTGCGTGAACTATGTCAGTAAGTATGGGAGTCTTTCTAAACCTTGTGTTAGTGGCTGCAGTGCTTAATAGTTTTTGCCTGCCTGTCTACTGCAATTAGTTAGTTTGGGTAGTTCTCCTTTAACTCTGCTTTTTAGGATCTTTATTGTAATTTTTAAGAAACTTAACCAGAAAATTGGGTGGTGAGGTGGAGAACAGGGTGCTGGCTTTCAGTCTGAAATCATGATAATTCTCTTTTATTTGTAAATAGCTTACTAATTAATGGTTGGAAATAAAATTTCAAAATCAGGCATCTCAGATATTAACAAATACTTGTATGATTAATTAGCAAGTACACAAATTAGTGCAACTAGAATTGGTTTATAATTTCATGATTAGCCTTTAGAGCATTTCAGGTAGAAACTGAGATTGTTAAGAGTCCACAGTTTTAACATAATAAAATGAAAGGAAGCATAGTATGTACTGCTATAACTAAGTTAGAAGAAAGAAAAGATACAGCAACATCAGAGGAGACCCATGAGAGTAGCAGTCATTTAAAGATGACTAATTACTTTTCCCCAAGTTTGAATGGGGAAAAAGAAGTTTAAAAGATAAGTTAAAAATGAATTAGAAGAGAGGAACCTGAAGGGAATGCAGCCCAAAAAGAAATTAATAACCTTTATATACCGTTCTTATTGTGAGAGATGATTCTTTTCCTTGTCTTCAAAATTTGGTGAATAGTACAGACCAGTTTGAACCTCAGGACCAAGGTCATTCTTGTTTCTGGAAAAAGGAAATCAATCATAGTAATGTATGATGTTCAGAATCACAGTTACTTTGACTAGAAATACTTTTCTTTTCTGAAAGAACTGGTCAAGGGAGTTTTCTGTGATGTGACTGATGATAAATGTGTTACAGCATGTCCCAGTTCTTTTGAATGTAATTCATACAGCTAAGTAGGAAGCCTATATTGTGTGAAATGATTATCTGGTAATTTACTGTAATTAACAGCTTTCTCTTCCCTAATAGCAATAATTCACTTATTTTAAATATGTACTTTTTCTGCAAGTTAAATTTTATTAGTTACTTAGAAATTTTATTTGAAATATAACATGTAGTAAGCTGTTAATTTCAGTAAATGAGTTAAATATCTTGCTTGTGTATGTGACAGTTAAATATCATGCTTGTGTATGTGACAGTTGGCTAGAACAGTAAAAACCAGATTAAAAAAATATTGGAAAATCCTTTTTTTTTTAAATGAGGTTAAACCTTCATATTTATAAAGAATTTTTATCTTCAGCTGAAAACTGCTTTGAGAATAAATTTTTTTCTTTCAGTTTTATTGGGGAATAAAGTTTATTGTAAGTTATTACCAGTATTAGAATTCACCTCTTATTTCTCTAGGAGCTAGCCCAGTGTCAGACAGTCAAGATTTGAATAAATTGGAGAGGTTTTTTTAAAGTTATTAAAAGTAGGAGAGAAATTAGATTTCTTTAGGTTAAAGTCTTCTCTGGGGGTGAGAAATGAGCTGTGATCTTCAAACATATGTTGTAATACATAAACTTTCAAATTTTACAAGCACACTATTTCATTATTTTTCTTAACTCCTGGAAAAATACATAACAGGCATTTGGTATATTGTTAACCTTCAAATGCTATATTAGGAACTGTATGATATTATCAATAATTGGCTTTTAAAAAAAATTACAACAAAAGCAGTTTCATGTGGTTCTGTTCCTGATATTTCGCTTAGAAATAATATGATTACTTTTTCTTCGGGTGCTATGATTATTTCAAGCAGAGTGAAAAGGTTTTTTTGTATTTATAAGTTGGTGGTTACTTTTTACAGCATTCTATTGTAAAATCAAAGTGTTCCAAACAAATAGATCATTAGACTTTATGAGTTAACAGCAATGGAGACCTTAACAGGCGAGGACTATTCATGATGATATTATTTAAACTTAAGTTTATAAAGATTTCCTTGATGGAAATTTTCCAGAGTAGCATTTCTTATCTGGTATTTCCTAAAGTGAATTATTGGAATTGTTTTGATATATGTTCTTATTTCTGTGGATAATACGCGAGAGTGTTGAAGCAGTGTTCATCCAAGAGAGTTTGTGTGTTTGATTAGTTTGGGGAGTGCAGCTCTTCTGACATGTAACCTCCGTGGTGTTGATGGGCACTGTGGTGTATCTGTGTGTCTGGGCGGAATCACAGCTTGGGTAACGCGCGCACACTTTTCCCTGAAGTAACTCAGTTTTGTTTGTTTCTAGTGCCACCATGGCAACTGCACCATACAACTACTCTTACATCTTTAAATATATTATTATTGGTAAGTTTACTTAACTTATACTTTTGTTCTCCAAAGGTTAAAATGCAAAATGTTTATATGCTAGTACTTAACATAGTACCCCAGGGGAAGTGAATACTTGTCTTTTTCACTGCAAAATTAAAACTCCTTTGGTAGGATTTATTTTTCATCAATGATGTACCTGTTGCTTTGTGACCCTGGGTACAATGCTGGCTACCTTTGAAGTGATGTTGCTTTTTCTTGAGGGCTACCTGAAGGTTAATACTGGGAATGAGATTAATTTCCTAGGAGCATTGATACACTCCAAAAATATGAAATTTCTCAGAGCCCCCTGGATTCCAAAAATTGATAAAAATTCAGAATAATTGTGTAAGATACATGACATATAATGGTAGTTTTTCTCTTAATCAACTTTCAAGAAGATTTAGTTCAAATTAAAACAGTGCTGTTTCTCCATATGTAAGAGTAAGTTGAAATATACGTATTTTCCTGTTAATTCTTCATATTAGTTTGGTTTAATATTGAGCTTATGTGACTATATTGTAATACATCCTTTAACCTTTAAAGGTTAAATTTCTGTTAGTGCAGTCAGAGATGATACCTGTTCTGTTACAATTTTCATGTGATGCATATTCTTTTGTGAAATTCTACAAGAAATATGAGTTAAAATGGGATCTAGTGAATCAAATTTCCAAAGCTTATTATTTCTACTTGTTATATGCTGCCCTGTTGGTCACTCCTAGGAGTTTTTGGCTTTTATGCATGGGTTAAGGAAAAAAACAAACAAAAAGTTGAAATAGTTTAAAGTAAAAAACACTGTTAACAGCAGTTTCTCTGTTAAAAAGCTTTTCCCAGCTGGTGTCTGTTTATTGACATAATTCATAACCAAATTCTACCACCAGTGAAGGTTGGGAATAAATTTATGTGAAAACCTACGTTTAGGATCTTTTGAACTCATTATAAATTATGAAAATGAAAATCTTTTAAGTGCCCAGAGGTTTGTGATGTAATATGGTAAAAGAGGTATAGCAGTCATTGCATATAATTATAAGAGGATAAAATAGAGAAGTGTAATTACCACTTGAAACTTTTTTTTTTTTTTAAAACAGGGGACATGGGAGTAGGAAAATCTTGCTTGCTTCACCAATTTACAGAAAAAAAGTGTAAGTTCAATGTGTAAGATAAAACATTGGTAAATTCTTATTGTCACTTTCCTACCTTTTAAAAAGTGTTATTTTCAGTATACTCTATGCAATAAAATATAACTTCCCAATGTATATGTACTTTTGTCTTTAGGAAGTGAATTTTTTTTTAATAGGTACAGACAAAATGAAATATATGTATGGTGGTGTTTTTTTTATGCCATATATAGTTTGATTGACTAGAGTTTTGATGATATAAACTTAAGTTTTAAAAATATATACTATTAAAAAATAAAAAAAATATACTTATAATTTCAAATTTAAATTATCTTTTTCTTGTTCTCTGACTTTCCATTGTAGAAATTATCTTATTAGGGGAAATGTGCTCATATATCATTTGCTAATAACTAAATAATAATAGATTGGAAATATTTAAAATTGAATTCTTTCTGCATTCACGACTGGTCATTTTAGATTCAAAGTGCTACTCTGTCTTGTGTGGTAGGAGAAGGGGCCATTTTATTTTATGTAACTGATAGGCTAAATATAGTTGAAATTGTTTCCAATAGTTAAAATTATTTCTGTGGCATTTTTTAGCTTAATGTAACATTTTATGAAGTGTTTAGCAGTCTGTGTACTGTATCGGAGTAATAGTGGATATAGGTTTTCAGCGGGCTAATTATAAAGAAAGGATTAATAGACTTGTCCTATTGGATTAGACTTGCAAATATATAATTATAATACATACTAAATTTCATGACCATCTTTGAAGTATTGATAACATTTTACAGAATAAATACTTGTTTGACTGAAAACAACTAGAGTCCTAAAACCACTAATTTGTTTTTAAGGTTAGAATTGTCAGAAATAAATAGTATAAATAGTATAATGTTGTTACGAAGAGTTTATTAAAAGCCTTATTTTTAATTAGCAGATTCTTTTAGTCCAGAGGTCAGCAAATAGTAACGTGTGGGCCAAGTCCAGGCACTGCTTGTTTTTAGAAATAAAGTTTTACGGGAATGCTGTCATGCCTATTTTATGTATTGTCTGTGACTGCTCTTGTGCTTTAGCAGAGTGGAGTCCTTGTAACAGGTCTTTTGGCCCGCAAAACGTGAAATATTTATTATTTGGTTCCTTGCAGAAATTTCTAAGCCTTGTTCCAGTCACATCCCTGTGACTCCTTACTTAAGGGTTTTTGCTAGATTTTTTTCTTTTCATGCAAGCTTTAATCTGTTTATAGCCTACAAGCATTAATGAGTCTTTTGGTTTTCTAATGGATCACTTTCCCATTGATTTTAATTTGAAGCTTTCTGCAAGTTGGAATATTGTATTTCTTCTCTTCCCGAACAGTTATGGCTGACTGTCCTCACACAATTGGTGTTGAATTTGGTACAAGAATAATTGAAGTTAGTGGCCAAAAAATCAAACTGCAGATCTGGGATACAGCAGGACAGGAGAGGTTTAGAGCTGTCACACGAAGCTACTACCGAGGAGCCGCGGGAGCGCTTATGGTGTATGACATCACTAGGTAAGAGCTTCATGATTTTCAGCCTTCATTCTTGAAAAAGGAAATCTACTTTAGGCAGTGTGATTTTTTTTTTTTTTTTTAATTGTTAGGCATTCTATAGTTTGTAATTGTGTATGTTAAATGAGCTTTTTATTATTTGGACTTTGTTTTTTTTTTTCTCTAAATTGCTGTGTATGAGATTTGATATATTGATAGCATGTTGATTTCCTTATCTGAAAGTGGGTAAGACTAAAGAAAACTTTAGGAGATGCTGGTGGAGCTAGGGAAAGAATACTTTTCTGAAAAGCAGTATCAATTGAATTATTTGAAGTGAAATATTTCACACCAAATATTTTCACTTCAGTAGAAAGCAAGCAAATCTTTAAGAGTTACTCTATTCAGCCTCTTGCCTAGAGAATCCTGTGGATGGAGGAGCCTGGCTGGCTGCTGTCCATAGGGTCGCACAGAGTCAGACACAACTGAAGCGACTTTACTTGCATGCGTGCATTGGAGAAGGCAATGGCAACCCACTACAGTGTTCTTGCCTGCAGAATCCCAGGGACGGAGGAGCCTGGTGGGCTGCCGTCTGTGGGGTCGCACAGTCAGACACGACTGAAGCGACTTAGCAGCAGCAGTGTTAAAGTTCATGCCTTTTCAAAATAAGGCCAAGCAAAGGAATTAAGTAGTTTTGCTAATCCAACGTGGTAGATTATAAAAAATTCTCATACTTGAATCTGAAATATTTGCTTATTAAATTTTTTTGTGTCCTAAGATGGATTGAAGTAGCTCATGATACTTCATGCTGCAAGATTAAATTTATTTCAACTCTGCTATTTATGGAAACTCAAAAGTAATTGATGCAGGATAACAAAACTGGACCTTAAATGTTTAACTTGGGGAAAGTGTGCCCCTTCGTTAAACGCTGCGCTGTTTGTCTGCTGTAAGCTAGAGAATGATTTAGACCACCTTTCATATTGATGCAGTGTCTGAAGCAGAGTGCCTCTTGCCTCACCTTGCAGCGGGTAGCATTCATTGAGTGGGACCAAGTGATAGACTTCAAGTATATTTCCTTTTGGGAAATACTTTACATTGCTCTTGAAGAGTCACAATGAGAAGTTCTGTTGTAAAGGGACTCTTTAAGTTTCTTTAATTTACTGTTTCCTAAGGTGCTTTTATTTATTTAGAATAAAGATAGTGGATGATTATGATTATAGTGCTTGAAGTTTTACTAAATTTTCGAATTGGGTGGTCTCAGGGCAAAACAGAGGGGACAGCCTTAAGGCTCTTCACTGGAGCCAGGCAACTGGTAAATAGTTTTGTGGGAAGACAGCTAAAGAACCTGGCCATTTGTACGGACATCTTTTTATGAGGGATGCATTCCTGAAGGCTCTGCATAGTTGAAAACTGCATTATTAGTAAAATTTCACTGTGGTGATGTGTACTTAAATGTATCTATAATATTGTAGATTGTTTTGCTTTTTCTATGTGTGTTCTTTTTTTAATTCCAGCCTACTGAGATATGAGTGATAAGGCTTGTGCTTTTTAAAAATTATATTTGATCGTTTACTTAGAAAAGTTGAAAACACTGGGAAAAAAATTTTTATGTGACTTTTTTTGACATGTGGGTGGTGGTTTGTGTATAATGTGATACAGCACAGTTAAAAGAAATTCTGAGTAAGGAATTCTTTTCAGTTCTCTCTGGGAAAGGAGTAAATGTTTGGTATATCAGATTTTATATGAACACTGGCAGCTGGAGATGATGGAATATGTTCACTAGACTGAACTCGAAACACTTCAAGGACACAGTGTCTGTAAAAGGTCCTGCACCTACAGTGTCTGTAAAAGGTCCTGCACCTGGCTCTGAAATCGTTTCTGCCTCTTTATGGGCCGCTGTTGCCTCACCTGATAGATTAATGTTCTGTGAGTCTGTATAGATTAGAAATATTTTCAACCATCAAAATTAAAAAAAAATTTTTTTTAATGTTTTTGACCTTTTTGGTAAAGTCTAATTAATAGTAGTAGTATATTCTGTATTATTTTAAATTATTTGGATTTGTTTGCTGTCTTAGGTCCTAGTTGGCTAATGCAAAGGAGCCAGGAGTTTTTAAACTCTCAGATTGGAGAAAATGGAGAAATAAGGCATTCTGAATCCCCAAATGATTTAGCTGCTGGTACAATTAGGATAAACTCACTCTCTGATATACCTGGGGACTTCAGTTTCGAGTCAAATATATTAATCTTCTTAAAGCCAATTTTTAAAATTCAGAGTTCAGAATTATTTTCCATCAATTTTTTATCTTGTTCCTTGCTTGCTTATTGGTCCGTTTATGTTTTTAAATGTAAATAATTTACTCCTGACATGTAAGTCATTAGCAAAGTTGTTGACTATTGAGTTGTTTATTTAAAACAAAAGGTTTGGCTAGATATTTGAAAAGTGTATGTTTACATTCCACAATTCTCTAGGGTAACAGTCTATTCAAATCAAAAATAATTTTTAAGCGTATATTTAAAATATATTTGATGAAGTTTCTTTTTTTTTTCCCTATTGAAATGGCAACTGTATGTGGCAGTCACAAAAATAAACTTTAATTTTTGCAGAAGAAGTACATATAATCACTTAAGCAGCTGGTTGACAGATGCAAGGAATCTCACCAATCCAAATACTGTAAGTTAAATGATGTCTGTTGTACAAAAAGCTTAAGATCTAAGTTGACCCAGAAAGGAAAGCCATTTGCTAAGTGGACTTGTTTTGTATTTGGGTACTAAGAATGAGAGGATGTTTATTCTTAAATTAATTGAACTTAAAACCTTTTTTCGAATATGGATTATGCCAGGTTTCGCACTTGGTTTTTGTTCATGTTTGTGGTTTAAGAAAAATGAAAATTATGAGTGGGTTGGTGATTTCATGTCAGATGGAGGCTATGAAATCTGAAACTTTCACTTTAATCTGCATTGTTTCATAAAATGTTACCGTTAGAGGAAACTGGGCAAAGTGTACTCGGGATCTCTATTATTTCTTAACAACTACATGAGTCTCAGTACAATTTCAATTAAAAATAAAAACAGTTCTGCATATTATAAAAAAATAGCCAGTCTGAAAGAGAGTTATTTATTTGAGATTTTAAAGACTAGCTGCCATGCTAGGCTCTGCAGTATACGAAACAGAATGTGGGTCTTTGGCCAATAAAAGTATAGTGCAGCAGGGAGATTTCCTGTGGGGACACAGCCAGCCTCTGAAAAGCAGAGCGCCTGGTGTGGCGATGGGTGGCGCCGTGTGTGGGGTGCTCAGTGTGAGCAGCGCCGTCTGCAGAATCCAGGTTTATAGAGGAGGTTGTGTGTGAGCTGGGACTGGAGGAGTAAAAAGGTTTTGGTAGATTCTGTGGATGGTATTCCAGGAACAGTGAGGAAAGGCTCTGCGCTCTGACTGCCTGAGCTTTGCGAGAGTAAGGCCTGGGTCTCACTTGCCTTTGTACCCCAGAACCTGGCAGTGGCCTGGTTTAGTAAATATGTAATCAGTGGTAAGATTGGCTTTCATCAGGGAACAGCAACTTAATTATTTTAAGAGTCAGTTAACATGGTTTGCCTTTTATGCCAGGAACTGTGTCTGGAACTTTCCTATCCATTATCACATTAAACCCACTGTAGGAATACATACAAATCTATAGGTGAATGTTCATACAGCCATGTTTGCAACAGTCAAAAACTGGAAACAACCTAGATGGCTATCAGAAGGTAAATGGTGAGACAGTTTGGTGCATCTGTTCTGGGGAATACTCTCCAGCCATATAAGGGAATCACTTGTAGATAAATAGATCTCATGGGTGTTGTGCTGAGTGAAAAAGTCAGTCTCGAAAGATTACATACTGTATGATTCCATTTATATAAAACATTCTTAAAAGGAAAAGTTACTGGGTTGGAGAGGAGATTTGTGGTTGCCAGGGGTTAGTGATGGGGGTGAAAGGTGTGAGCTGACTGTAAAGAGGGCAGCACAGAGCACGTCCTTTGTAGCGATGAAGCTGATCGTGGTGACACAGATCTATACCTGCAGTAAGATTGCATAGACCTATACACAGTAAAACTGAGATCTCAGTGAGGACTGTAGACTGTGCCAATGTCAGTTTCCTGGTGTTGAGAGAGTGCAGTAAGTGTGTAAGATCCTAGTATTGGGGAAGCTTGGTGAAAGGTATATAAGAGCTCTACTCTTCTGTGAACTTCTGTGATTCTTTTGTTATGTTCTAGTAAAATATTAAAAACAGCAAGAAAACAACTTATTGTAGAGAGTCGTTAGAGGAGCATAATAGAAAAAAATTAGCCATGTCCTTCTTGGTTTCATTTATGCCTCTTAAAATCTTACCAGAATCTTGAAAGAAAAAAAAATCTCTTCAGGTCCAGTGGAAACGTTACGTTCTCTGTAACTTTGCCTTTGATTTCTGTGTTAAAGTTAACACACTTCCTCATTTTGTTGATAGTGTATGCTGTACTTCTGTCTTGTTAGCATGCCAGGTTACGCCTCCCCTTTCATGGAGATGGGAAGCGTGGTTTGGAAATGCTTAAGGAATGGAGAGCAGGCAGTGTTGTTTCCACCAAGCAAACATTTCTTAAGCTGAGTGCCTGTGTTATAATGGCCCTGTGCTACTTAGCCATTGTGACTTTACCAACTTTGATTTTTTACAAAATTTGATTTCATTTTTTAAGTGTTATTGCCTTATTCTTTAGTGGACTAGTGGACTGTATGTGAAAACGTTTTCCCATCCTCAGTGGGCACTCATCCACACTGATTGAAGAATGCTAAAGGTGGACATTTGGGTCAAAATAGTTATAGTTCATGGACACCATTTTTTCAAAGGATGGCCAGGGGCTGAAATTTCACATGAAAAAAAGTTAATGATGGACAACCCTTTTAGTTGAAACCATCTGTTTCTAAAGTATCTGGATTTACCACATCAGTTTTGAAGGGGAACATATTTTGCCTTGAATTTGGAGTCACTCTACATAGGTTCTCCCACCCCTCTTGTCCCCTGTCATGGATACAGTCATTTGTTATCAGTTGCTACAGACTTAGTCTAGCGTAGGGATAGTGTAGGGGAGGACAGGATTTGAAGGTCACAGTTCGGGTTTTCTACCTGAATTCTAATGTCTGCCTACCACGGACTCTTGAGTGATCTTTTAACAAGTCCTATTTGCTTTATTTGAGTATTAGTTTCTTTACTTTTAGCCTCAGAAGTTGAACTGGTAGTTTCAAAGCTTTCTGTGGGTCCCAGGAACTTTGGAAAATATAATGAAAGGCAGAAACCTTCTCTTCCAGGCAGTGTCCTGGAAGACATCCCCCTGTCCCTCTTCATAGAAATACCTTCATGATTCTGTAGTCATTGTCTGATGGGTAATTGCTAGCATTTAGTTTCCTTTTTAGACCTGAATTTTAGAGTGTCATGTCTGATTTAAAGGCTGCTTTTGTGTAAGACGTCTCTCTTTGGGTTGCGATCCAGGTGATAATCCTCATAGGGAACAAAGCAGATCTGGAGGCTCAGAGGGATGTGACGTATGAAGAAGCCAAACAGTTTGCTGAGGAAAACGGTGGGTTTCTTTTGAGACTTAATGGCTTTTTTGGGTCACACATGGGAGAATTTCTAAGAAGTGGGATTTTGACAGTGCAGATTATTTGACAGTTTTTTCTTTTTTTAAGTGCAAATTGCTCAAATGGAAGAACGAGGAAATAACAAAATGCATTTGTTATTTGAGTTTCATTTTGAGGGCAGTAGAATTATTGAATGACATAAAGATTCCCTCCATCTCAAACTCATAGTCTTTCATAAAATACTGTGGTAGGAGTACTGAAAGCTGATGGGAGACTTTTACTCAGAAGTCACTAAAGAGAATGTCCTTGTGAGTTAATTTGAAATGTCCTTCATAGTCTGAATTTTATTTTTAGGTTTATTGTTCCTTGAAGCAAGTGCAAAAACGTAAGTATGACTAAAATTAGTAGATCATTTTTATTACATTCAAATTTCTCAAAAGTAGAACCATATATATATAAATGTATAATGTATATATACATATAATGTATAATATGTAAATGTGTAATGCTTACGGCAGCGAAAACAGCAAAAATCCCTTTGCTTGTTTCACATTTCAAAATAATGTTTTTTGTTTACTTTCCCTAAAATATTATACCTTGATTATACCCATTGGTAATACAGGTTAGTAAATTAAATTGTGTTAACACAAATTGTGTAAAGGCTAAAAGTGACCTTTACAACCAGGGCTGAATTTGGCATCTTGGGCTCAGGGTTGGTCAACCTGTTGATTTAATACTTCTCATTGCAGTAAAAGCATGACTTTAGGAAATATTCAGTGTCTTCTTAAGAGGAATTAGAAGCATAATTAACATTTCTAATTGTTATTCCACGTTCATTATTGAACCCCAGCACTCCTATTGTAGTTCTTCATTTATTAAGTCAAATACTCCTTGTAGTGGTGAGAAGCTAGCCCCTTTTTGATTTAGCCTCATCTGTACTGTTGGTCCTAAAAGGGCCGATATCAAACGTGAACATGGCTAAGCATGATAAGAACAGTACAGTTTATGCTTGGCTAATCAGACCATACAAATCCTGGAATACTGTTTGGAGATAATTTTATTTCTGTTTAGGATACCCTGTATTATGTCCTGCTTTAATTATTGTTATATGTTAGTATATAGCATTTTAATGGTTAGAGCACATACAGTTTCAAATTGGGTTTGTAGAAAGAGCTCTTAGTATTGTTTATATGCTTTCCACAGAAAATATTTTCCCATGTCGTTCTCTTAGCTCAGTCTTCTGGTAATCCCTTATTAGATGACAGTGGCTAAGTTGAAGACATCATGGCAGTTGACTAAAGGTTAGCAAAAGGTCATTGTATAATGTCTTATGTTTTGTAGAAAACTATGGTTTGCCAGTAAAGTTATCGATTGCCTCTTAGGGGAGAGAACGTAGAAGATGCTTTCCTTGAGGCAGCCAAGAAGATCTATCAGAACATCCAGGATGGAAGCTTGGATCTGAACGCTGCCGAGTCTGGTGTACAACACAAACCTTCAGCCCCCCAGGGGGGCCGGCTAACCAGCGAGCCGCAGCCCCAGAGGGAAGGCTGTGGCTGCTAGTGACCGCCTCGCAGGGCTCTCGTTCGACCTTCCACCTCTGTCTGTCGGAAGCAGTACTTTTTACTGCCTCACTGTCTTCTGTACATCTTACTGGGTTTAATTAAAAAGAAAAAAACAACTCTGTTGTAAAAACAGTTTAACACAATACTAAACTGCTAAACAACTAGATGTAATCAGGTTATCAAAGGCAAGTAGAGTAATAAATCTCTCCTGCATGGTAAATCTAGACTTTTTTTTCCCCCTTGATTGTCCCCGTGATAGGTATGTCACCAATCCATGATTTAAACTGAGCACTGATGCTGGACTTGATTTTTTTACCCCTCCCTCTTTTTGGCAAGGCTTTGTCTCATTGTACGGTTTAATTTGATGATATCTTAGGCTTTCTTCCCATCTTTAACTGTTCAGGTATGTCTGTTGTAACCCATAAATTTATTGCTGTGAAATGACTTCTGATGATAGAGAAAGGGTTCTTCAAAGCCTTTTGTTTTTGTCGGATAAATTCCCTGTTGTGTGGGTGGCGTTTTTCTTAAGGCGGTTTGCTTTTGTCTTAGCCTTGCGCAGGGAAAATATCCATTTATCTTTTTTCTTATGCTTAATTAAATAGCTTTATCCTTTTTTTTTACACCATTTTATCTTTTTCTCTTTAGCAGAAAGTAAATATGTATAAAATTTGAAGGAACCGAACTAACAATACATTCTGTGTATATTATTTTAATGAAGAAAATAAATTGATTACTGGCCTTGGAACAGTATAAAATACCAGTTTGTACAGTAGGACCTATATGTGACCATGTTACTCCCTTCCATTTCACACGAGGAAATAGACACAACTTCTGTTCACACGATCTACTGGCTCCACCCTTTGGTGCTGGCAGTGTTTGGGGACATTATGCTGGAAAGAGCTCCTGGCGTGAGAAGATTTAACACTAGCAGATTCTGTTCCATCTTTGCACTGTGGCTTACCTGCTGATTTTCTTAACTGTTCTTGTGCAATCAACAATGTGCTAACCTGCTTTTCTCTTTTTGTAAACATTTTGCATTACAGGCTGCATTTCTTGCCTTACTGTATAGAAGAAGAAAAACGCTGGGTTTCTTATTGCACATTTTAAGCTTTTATACCTGTATCTTGGAATGGTAAGATTCTGAACCAGACAGCCAGAACCGCAGGTCTGCTGTTAAGGGATTTTAAATAGTGCATTTTTAACACTACAGTGAAATAATTTAAGATACCCCTTGTATTCATAGTATATTTATGTCACCTCGGCATACATTGTTTCTGTAAGGGGGAAGGTGTTTCTAAGGGTGTTCAGTGTTTGTGCTGATACAAAGTAAGTTACTACTTTGCACTGGGTGGTGTGGCCACTGACAGAATCCTGTATTGCAAGGGAAACAGTCTTATTTCTGTAGACAACAGACTTAGGTTTTACCAAGTTTTTTACTTCTGTTGATTGATTCCTAATTGAGTTTGTGGTTCAGGCTGGGAATTGAGAAGTTACTTGAAGTAGGATAGGTAAAAACCTCATTATATAAAATGCACCCTCAGCTCAACTGCTGTGTTTAAAATACACATTTTAAATCCCTATTTACAGACACTAAAGTAAAAAAATACTGCTTTCTGGGTTGTAAACATGTGGTAGTACCAGAGTATTGTATAGTCAATGTTAAATAAAAGCCAAAACTGGAATGTGCAGAAAATAGGATTTGGTTAATTTGTGGACTCATCTTTATTTTTGTCTTTGTTTAACTTTTTTAAAAAACAAGATACCTGGAGTGTATCGGGTATGTTCTGTTAAGGACGTGCAGTGATCCGTTTTGCTGACACTGTTGCATCACGAGGGACTCGCCCAGGGACCATGACCTGCTGGTGTGTGTGTATATATTTACAAAACAAAGCAAGCAGACCGCCCACCGGGTGTGAGGGAGCCGTCACAGATGAGGCCTGTGGCCTGTTGGGGTGCGATGCCCTGGTTCCCAGAGGCAGTGACCGTGGGTCTTAACTGTGCTGTGACAGGGTTTACTCAGACTGCTGTACTCTTCACTCGATGTAACAAAATGCTATTAATCTAAATATTTGTAAATAAAGTACCTGTATCTAGATTAAAATTGTTTGCCTTATTTTCTAAATTATAACAGGATTTCATATTTTCTTCAGGCAAATAGTTATTTTGGCATTAAGTTGCCAGTTTTTACTGCAAAACTGCCCTTAATTGTTTAAAAAGACGTCTACGTAAGGAGCATATGAATCCATGCCACTCGGCACTGGAGCTCCAGTCTGACCCGTGCGTTCAGATCACACCTGCAGTGTCTTTGAGCCTTTCTCAGTGTGGGATCGCACGTCTGCTGGCTGGCAGCATTCTCCCTCGACTCTGCTTAGGACCAGCTCCTGTCATTGGCATGTGGAATCCCCTGTAACAAACTTGGGTGCTCAGAGAGAGAGAGGCAGACTGTTGTAACATCTGTGTGCCAGACATTGGGCAAGTACACCTTGGAGAGAATGTGAAATTCTTTTAATTTTTAATCCACGGAGAGCTTATTACTTGTGTGGTCACCTGCTTTTCTGGGTTCCTCGTCGCCCTTGCACCTGTGAGGCCCTCCTGATTAGTAATTGGTGCTCAGTACTCTATGCGTTAGACATTCCAGTATGATGTTCAAGTATTTTTCATGGACAATAAAGTGTTTGATGCAGTGCTTTTGTTTTTTTTGGGGGGGTTGGTGGCTGGTGATGTTTATATAATACTAGTTGGAGTGGAGTTTCTCTGGAAAGATGTCTTTTGAAACCAGGTGTTTGGCTTCATACATGAATTATCTTCTAATTCAGTAAGACTGTCATTTTGGGAACTTCACACACCTGTTGTTTTAAGTGTGCTCTTTTCTTACAAACATGTGGCTCAGTTCACACCCTTCACAGAAGACCAAATGATTCCTGTTCATGTGGCAGCTGAGGAAGAAAATATTTTACCCTCATTCAGCACATGGACAGACCAGGAAACGCAAGGATTTCAGTAACTGTTGAATAGGCCAGGCTTTTAAACATTTTGCCAAGACTTGTGAAAATGAAACAAAGAATGCAAGTACAAAAGACACTATCAAATCAATTTTACATTGGAAATAGATACTTTCTACAACTTACTGGATGTTAATTTTATGCCATTTCCACTGTCTTTAATCATATTTATTCCATGTCAGTCCCTGTCCCAGATCTTAACGGTCCAGCTCTAGGCAAACAACTTCTTAGGAATATAAACCTCAGTAGGTGGTCAGAGAATAGTGCTATACTGTAATATAGTAACATGGTATGTAATACCTGTTCTGGTTCAAAAGCTTTCCAGGAACCTAGAAAATAGTTCTTGGGAATATTTTAAAACCTAAAGTCTGAACACAGTTTGAATTTACCACTGGGTCAGATTCTCCAAGGGCTTCCCAGGTGGCTCAGTGAGGAATTAGCTGCCAGTGCAAGAGACAGGGTTCGATCCCTGGGTCAGGAAGATCCCCTGGAAGAGGAAGTGGCAGCCCACTCCAGTGTCCTTGTCTGAATAATCCCATGGACAAGAGACGGGGCTTGCAGTCGATGGGCGTCACAGAGTAGGACGTGACTGAACGACTAAAAATGCATGCGGATTTTCCAAAGTTCTAATTTTCCACCGAAGAATATTTTTCGTTGAGGAAAGGCATCGGAAGTATGTATATCTGAAGTATATATTACAGTTTTATAATATTTATGTATTTTCAAATGGTAAAATACATTCATTGATGGATACAACATACTTCAACCTGCAGACAGAGATGGAAAACCATCTGAATGAAATGTAAAGTCAGATGTCAGACCCACATTTATTTTATCTTTTATTTTCATATGAAAATAGATTTTAAACAAAATCCAAAAATAACTCTTGGCACTATAAATACGAATCCTAAGTATGTTGTTTTTTCCTAACTATAGATATATCAGTTTATAGACTCAGATCAGCATGGGTTTTATTATAATAACGCCATTTCAAAGGTTAAAAAAATCCCTCAGCCATACAAGACCCTGGTTTAAACTGTGTACAGTATTCCCATATGTACAGGTGACTTACAAAAACGCTGACTAACTGTAGAAGTGGAATCAACTACAGTGGAGTTTTCATCATCTGAATTGACTGGATCCTGATAAAAACCAAGTGGTGTTCTAACGGTGACGTTAGTGAGGTAGTGGAGAAGGTGGTTCGCTCATATTCAGGCAAGATGCTCTTCCTCCATCTGGCTGAGGCGCTCGTCCTGCAACAGTAAGGACAGGTTCTAGCTAAATTCACAGAACTAGGTGATGGCATCATGGCTAACAGGTAAAACACAAATTTGAGTACTTCTTTGGAAAGATGTTTTAAGATGAAACACTACACAAAATTACCCAGGATAAAAGTTAGGTTACTTTTCTTAAGACTGTATGATAAGCTGGAATTCAACATCTGCCAATTGAAAGTGCTAGTTATTTATAAATAAATGAACTTTCTGTAACGTACCCTGTGAGCAGGAAGTTGAGGACAGCGTCAGTGTCGGTAACTGTCTACTGATTGTGATGGACTTTGTAGAACTTGATGGAAGGAGCTCTGGAAAGAAGGAAGATACAACGTTAGGCTCAGAAGCCAGCCCCCTAACTCCAACCTAGTTCAGATTTTCATCCCACGTACACCTAGATGAAGACTCCGGAAGCCAACGTAACGGTAACAAGCCCCTGTCTACGCACGGTGCCTCTGTCGCCGCCTCTGTTCCCCTCCTGGGCCCCGGGGCGCCTGAGGGCTCCCGGCTGCCACGGGAGCCGAGAACCTTGCCTGGCGCCCACACCCCTGCGCGCCTGTCGCCACTCTGCGGGCTCCTGCCTCCAGAGTCGGCATCTCTATAAAGCTCTGTGCCTCTGATGTTCTTCCTCACGGCCTGCCCGAGCCCCATGGCGGTTTGGGCCTCTATCTGACGTGGGCGCTACCGTGCAAAATCTAAGGTGATCATGTTCAACTCTCGGCTCTGCTGCTAACGAGTGAGCTGTGAGTCCATTCAAGATGCACACTGGCCTTGAATGTTCTTGGGGCTCAGACACACAAAACATGCTCTGTGGTAAAGACAGATCAGCCTCTAAATCCTGGTTCTGTTTTTCACTGTGACCTTGACATCATTTTTTGTGTTCTACAATTTCTTTATATAGAAGGATAAGTCCTAGTTCCAGGATGTAAATGAGGCAATACATGTAGTGTTTAGTACACACAGTGCGTGCTAAGTCACTTCAGTCGTGTCTGACTAGCCCGCCAGGCTCCTCCGCCCGCGGGACCCTCCAGGCCAGAGCAGTGCAGTGGGTTGCTATGCTTCCCTCCAGGGGGTCTCCCTGACCCAGGATGGAGCCCGGGTCTCCCACATCGCAGGCAGGTTCCTCACCGCTGAGCCCCCACACGCACACTAGGCACACAGAATGGTAGCTATCATCTGTCTGACAGGAATACTGTCTTACTGTTTATGGATTCCATGAATATATTTTATGTTCCTCCTAAACAATTACTGACCTCATCTAGGTCTCACACAGAAAACATGAAATTCAGTGTTGTGCTTTTTTTAATAGACACTGAATTAAGAGTTCAAACTGTGTTCAAACTTCGCTTAGGCCTAACAATTGGCACAATCACCTTTCCCAAGCGGACAGACTAAACTGGGACACAAGTTGGCTTCAGAGGTCTAAACTCCTATTTTTGACTGTGCCACATGGCTTACGGGATGTTAGCTCCCCAACAAGAGGCTGAACCCGGTGGTGAGAACACAGAATCCTTAACCACGGGACCACCAGGGAATTCCCTAAGCTCGTTGTATTTACCAAATAGTTCATAGGAGAATTAACTATGTCCCTGTTTCCTAGTTGATTTCCTAAATCATCAGCTTATCTTCTTTACACATCTACTACCAACCAGTGGATTCCAGTTTCCCCAGGGACCATGAAAAGTTTTGTGAGTCTTCGCTCCGTTCGTGTCCTCCCACCTTTAAACCTTGGGAAACTCAGGGCCTTCGGGCTCCCCTGGTGGCGCAGCTGGCAAAGAACCCGCCTGCGGTGCGGGAGACCTGGGTGCGATCCCTGGGCTGGGAAGATCCCCTGCAGAAGGGAACGGCTACCCCCTCCAGTATTAGGGCCTGGAGAATTCCGTGGGCTGTATGGTCAACAGGCCGCAGAGCTGGGCAGGACTCAGCTACTTTCACTTTCACTTTTTCCGTGTCCTGAGTCTGCTGCAGGCTGCGGGCCTCAGAGCCTTCAGGCACTTTCTGGGTACAAGTCAGACCACATGTGAAGAGCCTCCTCCTACCTGACTTGGTCCAAGACGGGAGTCCTCTGCCAGGGAAGACTCGAGCTGAGACAGGGTGGCTGACGACGTGGAGTCCACAGACGTGCTGCTGACCAGCTCCCCCAGGGCATCGACCTGTCTCCTCAGGCTGTGTAGCGTGCCCTCCGTCTGCCGCTTCCCTTTGCTTAACACTTCCGCCTGCTTGGACATGCAGTGTCGGAGCTGGGCCTGGAAGCGTCAGGGGAAGATTTAGGGCTTTACTCAGAGGGACTGTGTCAGAACTAGTACTGAGTAGCTTTCTCACGTTTAACATCTGAAAGGCACATCTGACCATCAGAACATAGAAGTGCCTGCTGAAAATCCTTGTCTTCAAAAGTTAAAAAAAAAAGGGGTGGGGGTGCGGGCAGGTGCCCAAAGGCGCTTCTGTGTGTTGCTGTCACCTGGACCTGGACCTCAGCCTGCCCGCGCCACGGTCACAACACAGGATTTCAGCTTCCTCCTCACTAGAAGCCTGCCTCGGCTCTCCACTGCTCAGACTTAGACGACTGGTTTACACTTGGTATCTTCAGAGTGTCTCACAATGTGTGGGATCCTCAACCCCACACTGCTTTCTGGCTTCCCCGCTGTGCCTCTGAAATGATCCTCCAGCTAAAGCTGACAGCAAGCACTGTCTGTCCCACAGAGCCTTCTGTGATGACAGGAATGCTCCATGCTCTGTAGCTGCTGCCCACTACAGTAACCACTGGTCATGTGTGGCTGTGAGCACGTGAAATGTGGTAACTGGACTGAATTTTTAACCTGGTTTAACGACAGTAAATTTCCATCTAAACAGCCACATGCGGCAGGAGGCTATCTCACTCGGAACTGTACGTGGCTCCCGCTCAGACCTCGATGCAAGTGGCCAATATCCAAAGATGCATTCTGTCCTCTCTTGCTCCATCCACCTCACTCTCATTTTTCAGCTCCCCACTATACTCTTCACCCCCACATTTTTAGGTCAGCCCTTACAACTGAATTCTAGACACCGATTTTCAGCTGCCTACAGACATCCTTCCCTGTGTGTCTCATGAAGCCTTCAAGTTCAACATATCCTGAGCCAAACAGCTTCTTATTTGACACCCAAGCCTACTTCTCTGGTTTCCCCAATCCCTCCCCAACCACGGGCCTGCGAGCCTTGTTTTTATGAGTGCATCTCTATTTTCTGTCTGCAGGTCCAGTCAGTTTCAGCTGAGGCAGAGCAGCATTACGAGGGTAAGGAACCCCAGGCTGAGCACCAGAGCTCGTGGTTCTGAACCCTGACCCTGCTGCTGACTAACTATGAGGCCAACCTCTCTGCGCTTCGAACGTGTAACCTACAGGACTCCTGGGACAGCTGCAACAGAGCAGTGTCCCT